CAGGTTGGGTACATGAGACAAGTGCTCAGGCCTGGTGCACTGGGAAGACCCAGAGGGATCAGGTGGAGAGGGAGGTGGGAGGGGGGACTGGGATGGGGAATACATGTAAATCCATGGCTAATTCATTTCAATGTATAACAAAAACTACTGTAATGATGTAAAGTAATTAGCCTCCAACTAATAAAAATAAATGGGAAAAAAAAAAAGAGAGAGTTGGATTATAAAGAAAGCAGAGCGCCGAATAATTGATGCTTTTGAACTGTGGTATTGGAGAAGACTCTTGAGAGTCCCTTGGACTGCAAGGAGATCCAACCAGTCTATCCTAAAGGAAATCAGTTCTGAATATTCATTGGAAGGACTGATGCTGAAGCTGAAACTCCAATTCTTTGGCCACCTGATGGGAAGAACTGACTCATTGGAAAAGACCCTGATGCTAGGAAAGGTTGAAGGTGGGAGGAGAAGGGGATAACAGAGGATGAGATGGTTGGATGGCATCACCGACTTGATGAACTTTAGTTTGAGTAAGCTCCAGGAGTTAGTGATAGACAGGGAAGCCTGGTGTGCTGCAGTCCATGGGGTCACAAAGAGTTGGACACAACTGAGCGACTGAACTGAACTGATAAGCAAATAGTCTCCAACTAAAAACCTGATAGTGTCTGCTGTGAATTACACATTTGACTTTTAGATGTGGATTTTAGCTGCTTAGAGACCCTTCTCATTTCTCTTTAGGATCATAATTCATAGCCAGGATAAATTACCTACAAAAGGTAATTCTTAAAATCTTTTTAGGTGAGGGGTATTAGAGTCAGGAGACTCACTTGACCATGTTACTTATCTATGAGGACTGTGTGTGTGTGTGTGTGTGCACATGGGAGTTACTGAAATTCATTCATCCATTCAGCAGATATTTGGGCCAGATCCTGTACCTGTTGAAGGTTATGAAATTCAAACCAGTTAATACAGGGAAAACCAACAACACTACTGACTACAGATACTGAGAAACTTAACAACGGAGAGAATCTAAAATTACAGTTTGGCTTTTTAATAGTTATGATAGTTAGAGTAATTTTTAAAATTTTATTTATTTATTTTTGGCTACATGTCACCACATGACTTGTACGATCTTAGTTCTCTGACCAGGGATTGAACCCAGACCCTGGTAGTGAAAGCACCAAATCCTAACCACTGGATCACCAGGGAATTCCCTAAAGATTTTTTTAAAGTCCAGCTTCACTAGTAATCAAAGAAATGCAAATTGAAACAGTGATGTGATTCCATTTTCTGTCTAACACATTTTCTGTGTCCAGATTAACACACTATGAAAAAGAAAAAAAATGCCCTGTTTGATGAAAGGGCTCCCCTCATAGCTCAGTTGGTAAAGAATTCACCTGTATTGCAGGCTACCCCGGTTTGATTCCTGGGTCGGGAAGATCTGCTAGAGAAGGGATAGGCTACCCCACTCCAGTATTCTTGGGCTTCTCTTGTGGCTTCAGTTGGTAAAGAATCCACCTGTAATGCGGAAGACCTGGATTCAATTCCTGTGTTGGGAAGATCCCTTGGAGAAGGGAAAAGCTACTCTCATTCTGGCCTGGAGAATTTCATGGACTGTTGCAAAGATTTGGACACGACTGAGTGACCTTCAGTCACTCACTCACATTTTGATGAAAGGAAGGCACAATAGTTAATCTCATACTTTTGATAGTAGAAATAAAAATCACATTCTTTCTGACAGGTAGTTTAGTAATATTTATCAAAAACCTTGAAAATGTTTATAGGTTTGATCTAGAAATTCATTTCTTAGGAATTTATTCAAAGGAAATAGATTGTTATAGAAATATTAAAAAATAATTATTTTATAGTTGGAGATTGGCTGAACGAAGTATAGACAAGCCTTATGGTAGAATACTGTGCAGTCATTAAAAACAATGTGATAGACAAATATATAATACATTGAAGAGGTTTGTATATGTTTAGGGAGAACTTATATATGACTCCATTTTTTTGTAAATAAAAATGTGCATACATTGGGAAAAAACTGGAAAGGTCTTATATATTCTAGAACAATTTTTTATTTTTGATTAGCTATATTTTCTAAATTTCTTAAAGTGAACATGAACCTTTTTTATTAGAAAAAAAAGTGGGGGGAAGTATTAGCAGGAATATCACATAAGACAGGGGAAACTAACATATAAAAAGCACTTCCTGGGTCAAGCACTGTGGTTGGTGCTTTATAACTTCACCTAATCTAACCTCACTGTGGAGCCTCCTGCCTCTGTCCTCGTCCCTCCAGTCCATTTTCACATAGCTATAGGAGTGATTCTTCTAATAGCAAAGATTTAGAAGAGAACACACCAAACTATAGATAGTAATTACTCCTGGAATTTAGATTGAGGAGATGGCTATAAGAGAAGACTTTCATTTTTCAATTTAATATTTCAATGTGATTTGTACTGTGTGTGTGTGTGTGTGTGTGTGTGTGTGTGTGTGTGTACATATAAGTGGGGAGGAAAAGCTTGTGTTGCCATGTCACTTCCCCTTTAAGCCCTTCAGTGGCTTACCTCATCTCCCACTTCTCTTCCCCTTACACCTTCTACTCCAGATCTTCTTTCTTCAGATGAAACTTGTGCTTTTTTGCCTCCAGGATTTGTGAATGCATTGGGTCCTCCCACTTCACCAACCTGGATCTGGTTATTCAGCCTTTTTAGGTCTTTAATATCACTTACCCCGGGATGCCTTTCTTGATCCCCTCCCTTGGTTTTCCACCATACATGGTACTTTTCCCATCATAGCCTTCATCATACTTTGCTAGAATTTTATGGTAAATTGTTGTCCTTCCCTGAAGAGACTGTAAGCTCCCTGAGGCATGGACTCTAGCACCTAGAACAGTGACTTGAACATAGTAAGTGTTTGATAAGTAGTTGTTGAATAAACACTTCATATTTTACAGTTGTGGATCCTGAGCCTTAGGGAGATGTTAGATAACTTGTCCAGAGCCTCTCGGCCAGTGATGTTTCAGAGCCAACTTTCCCATCCTTGTGTTCGATACTTGTAAAGTTCATGTTCTTTCCGTTGTACCACTCAGGTGAACAGAGGCAGAGCCAATCCCTAAACATGCCTCAGAATTGGGATCTTTACTTCCTGGACCTTTCCTGTTTTTGACACTTATGTCTGTCTGATTTCTTCCAGTGTGGTGCAGGTCCTGCTTGCGGCTGGTGCTGACCCAAACCTCGGGGACGACTTTAGCAGTGTATACAATACCGCCAAGGAGCAGGGAATCCATTCTTTAGAAGGTAAGTGTGGACTACTGTGCTGTTCTGCAGGCTCTCCTCCCTGCAGCTTCCAGCAGCCGTTCTCCGTGCCAGTTCTACCAGCAACTCAGGTGAGAGCCTGCAAGTTGCTCATCCTCTGGGGACTCGTGGATAACCCAAAGGCTTGGGGCAGATCCCCTTCACAGCCCCCTCTGGCTCTGTAATTTATGTCACGTCAGGTCTTAGGGAATAAAATAGAGGCCTGATTTCATGACTGAGGAGAGGGGTAGGAAAACCTTTTAACTGGTGTTCTGCCAAAAGTGCCTCAACCTGTGGAGTCTCAGATGAGTGCACAATGAAGCAGGTTTCCATAAGATAATTAAGGCAACTGTGTGGAATGTGGATTTATTCTTCCTCTACTTCCTGCAGACTTAGCCTGCCCCAGCCCTGCCCCAGAACTAGAAACCAGCTTTACTGGTTCCCTTAGCCTCACAAGTCCCTCCACACTATCCTGAATACTGTTTTTTCTCCCCCCCTGTATGTGGAATATAGTCCTCTCTCTGACATTGGCCCCTCGACTTACTCAATGATCCAGGACAAAGAGTGGACTTCCTCTGTGCCTTGATGTCTGTGCTTGTAAAATGGAGTGGTCCTCATTGCCCTGCTGGGGTACTGTGCGGGTGATTGCTTGGACTTCTCCAGAGGAAAGAGCTGATATGTACCTTTACCAGGTCTTGGTCACATGTCTGTTGGAAGGTACCTGGGCGAGTTAGTCTGAATTACCTCTGGTGAGTGGTTTTTTGAAAGTGGAATTGAGAAGATGGCAGGTTGAAATGACTGCAGACAGAGATAAATATTTTACGTTTGAGCTTTGCTTGTCCAGATTGTCTCTGCTGCCCACCCATTATCCTGGCTCACTCACAGAGCCTGAGATTCCCCTTGCTTTCCAGCAACAGGGCAGCTAAACTGTGGCTGCTTTAGAGTTTGCAGTGATGCCAGGAGAGACAGCCTTGCTGACTGCTCGAGGGTCAGAACATTGACCTGAGGGGAGGTTCAGCAGAGGGGAGAAGTATGCTCAGCTCTCAGAACCATCAGCAAGGCTGCCAGACCGACGTGGGTGTGTGGTAGCCTAGGGCAGAGGTGTCATTGCTGCCCCAGCAAGGTTTCTCATAGCAGCTTGAGAAAAATGTCAAAAGCATCAGAGCATTGCTACCCAGGTGAAGTGTGAAGTTGTTCTCCCCTGCCTCTCCACCTCTGAACCTGCTCCTTCTCGGTCAAGCTCCCTTGCTGTAGCTAGATCCTCCACAGAGCCTTTTCTGCAACCTGTCCTCTGCTGCTCTTTTGAATGTTCTCTAAATCTTAGCCCTTTATATGGTTATTTGAACTCTCATCTGCTCATATGTCTTTTCTTTCTTCGTGAGCTGACAGTTCTATGTGCAGGCCGTGACCTATGCCACCTTGGATTCCCCACTGAGCTGGGGGAATTATATTCATTTTGTTTGTAGTAGAGGAGAATTTCATGAGTGCCAGACTTGCCCTATATTTGCAGCCTGATGTTTGGGAACTCAGCTTAAAGTTGTGGGATAGTTTAAAGGCTGTCCTCCATTCACTCAGACACGGCATTGCCACCCTCAGCTCTATCTTCTGTTCTGGTGCTCTCACCAAGGAGGAGCATTTGCTGAGGGGCAGGGCCAGGTAGAAGGGAAGGATTCGAGGGCCTTCTCATCTGCCCTTGGGATCCAAACACCGCCCAGTAAGTGTTTTTGATTTCACAGAATCTCAGAACTGTGAAGCCATCTAGTCCTGCCTGTGCTCTCACACCAGTCCCCACCCCTGCATTTCAAGTTTTGAACCTTTGTATTCTGGGGCTTCCCAGGTGGCTCAGTGCATAAAGAGTCCACCTGCAGTGCAGGAGTTGCAAGAGATGAGTTCGATCCCTGGGTCAGGAAGATCCTCTGAAGGAGAGCATGGCAACCTGCTCCAATATTCTTGCCTGGAGAATGCCATGGACAGAGGAGCCTGGCAGGCTACAGTCCATAGGGTCACAAGAGTCGGACATGACTGAAAGCGACTGAGCATGCATCCACCTGTGTGTTCAGCTTTCCAGGTTGATGCTCATATTCAGCATTCTAGATCAGTGGTCAGCACACGTTTTCTGGCAAGTGCCAGATAGTAACCATTTTAAAGCTTTGTGGGCCAGTTGGTCTCAGTTTTGGCTATTTAGCTTGGCCATTGTAGCATAGAATATAATATACAAATGAGTGTACATGGATGTGTTCCAATAAAACTTTATTTAAAACAAAAGTTGGCAGCAGGCTGGATTTGGCCCATAGGCTGTATTTTGCCAACTTTACTTTAGATATTTTCTTTTTTCTCTCCTTCCTTCGTCGTTTCCTTCCTCCCTCCCTCCCTTGCTTCCTCTCTCCTATCCTTCCTCCCTCCTTCCCTCCCTTCCTTGCTTCTCTTCTCTTTCTTTGCCTTTTTAATCAGTCTCCTTTGAATTTTTTTAACTCTTGAGCTCGCCAACCTACATTCTAGGTAGGTAGGCAACAGAAATATTGGAACAGACTAATATATATCTCATGAAATGCAGACAGAAATATTAACTATCTTTTAATTTATATGATCTGCAAATTTAGTGACTAGGCTTTCTATGGACTCATTTACTTACTCAAAAGTACTTTTTAAAAATTTTATTGATTACGTTCCTATCTAGCAGGGACTGGTCTCAGCACTGTTAGACAAGCAAGGTCCCTGCCATCATGCACTTCATGTGCTAGTCTTTGATTACAGTGTTTATAAGGACTCTATTATATAAAGTACAGAGCCCTGAAACTCATTCATGATCAGGACAATTTAGAAGCATTATTCAGCAGTCAGAATTGTAGATCCTCCAAACTTCTTTCTTTTGTATCCTCCATTTCTTCATCTTGTCCACAAAATTGTAAGAGATTCTCTCAGATTTATTGCTGAAATAAAAACATGTTTTAACATTTGTCTTAATTTGTTGCATAGGAACCCTTGCCCAGCAAGATGTTAGGTTATTCTGGCATGGTTTTGTATTATCCCTAGCAAACCCACACTGGTGCCCAGTAATCACTAAGTGTTTCAGAACCATTAAATATAAATAAATTCTAGATTTAAGCAATAACTATCAACTATCATTCATAAGTTCACTGCTCTGTGGCTTGCAAAATCTAACTTGTAGCTTTTTCTCTGTTTTGAATTCCAGGCTGCCTTTGCCAGCCATGGTTTTCTGGCACCTCCTCTGAATTTCCCTGGTGTGTCAGTGTGGAGGTACTCTGCCCTTGGACTTCATATGCTCTGCTTTCTGACTCTGAACCTGGAGAGCGATGGTCCTTTATCATCATCATCTCAGAGTTCTCCTCTCCTTACCAGCCGAAGCCTTTAGCTCCTTGTTAAACATACTTTTCTTTCCTTTTCCCATTTAGAAATACCTCATTCATTCATCCATTCAACCAATATTTATTGATTGCCCACTGTATGCAAGTCACTGTACCCAGCTCAGGGTCATGTTCACTGAGGAAGTAGACAAAAACAAAAGAATCCTGGTTTTTGTTTTGTTTTGTTTTTATTTTGGTTGGATTGACTTTTTCATGGGAAACTACCTACTTGGGGATATGTGAGGAGGTTAAGGAGAAGAAGAGTTACAAGCTCCTTGCCCAGAGTGTGTAGGCAAATTCACAGGAAAGTTCTTCAGTATTGGAGTGTAGAGTCGGTGCTCTCAAGTTCACTAAATTTCTAATAGATATTTCTGTGGGGCTTAGCCTGTGGTCATTACTGAAGGGGAGTGCTGAGTTATAGTTTGACTTTGGCAAGACCTCCCTAAACCCCTGTAATATATCCCTTGTCTACTTTTTCAGTATTATTGTGAAGTCGAAGAGATGTGATGTGTGAATCATAAAGTATTCTACAGTTACAATTGCTTATTAATTTGGTTCATTTATAATTGGGCATGTACTTCCTGAGGGCCAGGCACTCTGCCAGATGCTGGGAATGAATTAAAAGGAATATATATGGTCTAGTCCCTCAATATATGTGATCTGCTCTCAGTCAAGTAATAAGACAGACCTATGAACAGGCATCACAGTGCAGAATGATAAATGCAAAGGTAAATAGGTGTACAAAGGATATAGGTAGCACTTGTATAGGTAGTGATGCCCTCTACCTGAGGGCAGACTAGTGTCTTGGAAGTGTCACAGGGTAAGTGACTTTGAATTGAGTCTTAAGGTTGAGTCAGAGACTGCCAGGCAGGCTAAGTGGGATGGACTTTCCAGGCAGAAAGAACAACACATGCAGAGATAAGGGCTAAGTAATAGCAGGTGGAATCATTCGCCACAGTGCTAAGAACAGCTAGAAGACCATAGCAGGAGGCAGGGTTCTACGTGGGAAGGACCTTGTAAGGCAATTCTAGGGAGCTCATAGTGTTTTCCAAAGGCCATTGAAGGATTTCAAGTAGGGGAATGCTCAGTTTACATTAGCAGTTTAGATGGACTCATGGGGTGGGGATGAATTGGAGAGGAGAGGTTAGCAATGGTTCTTAATGTTTTGATCCCTTTGAGAATTGGATGAGAAACCATGCTCCTCTCCCTCAAAATGCACTTCTCACTTCTGGGGATTTCTAAAAGAAATATTTGGGAGCAGAGAGAAATAGATATTCGAAAAATATCAGGAGGATATTGAGTATTCGGTGGAATGTGGGAATTGATGGAAAAGGAGGCACCTGTCACCTTGGTTTCTGCTTTGGGCAAACCATTGGATGAGTGGGTCTGGAGTTCAAAGACATCTGGCAGCATTTGCTTGATAGTTAAAATAATGAATGTGACTGAAACTGCCTGAGGAAAGGAGTTAAAATGAAGGGATAGGAGGACAAGTCCCTCACTCAGGATCCCAGCATTTAAGATGTGGGAAGGAGCGAGGATCCAGGCAAGGAGACCTAAAGGTATTGGAGAAGTTGCCTGGTTTTCTTCTCTCAGAGAGGTGCTCTGTGTCTGTCCTGCCTGCTCAGAATGGGCACAGCC